CATCAATTAAATTATTATTCTCGGTCGATGGAAGGATTATGTATATCAGTCTTTTTTCTTTTTTAGATTTTTTTAGATTTTTTTTTTTTATGTTTTCTTTTTTGTTTAATTTTTTAATTTCTTAATTTTTTTTTAGATTTATCAAATGGCTTGTGGTAAATGACGCTAATGATCGACAACGTTTATACAGAAAAAATTAGATATAAAAGAGATATAAAGAAATTATAATAGAAAAAGAATCATATGATAATGTATATCTTTCGAGATTATCAGTTTTTACTGTGGCAGATATAGTAATCGTCGATGAGATTAATTCTTGCGACACGATTGAAAAAGGTCGAGGTTAATAGGTTGTAAAGTTTTAATAATTTCTTTTCTCTTTCTTTTCTGTTCTTTTTCTCTTTTTCTATTCTTTTCTTTTCTTTTTTTATTTGTTATTTTCTCTCTTCCATCGATAAAACCGGTTGCAACGAGTTAATCTAGTTCATCGTTATTACGACAAATTCATTTAATATTTATCGAAGAATACCGGCCATTATTATGGAATACGTATACGTTTGCGTTTATTTCTAACGTTAATAATATTCTCACTTCGAGTTCTCATTCTCTCATCTTTCTTTCTCATTGATCTTTGCTTTTTGATCCTTTATATCTTATTTTATGTCTTAATAATAGACAAAGAGAAAAAAATAGAGAGAGAGAGAGAGAGAGAGAGAGAGAGAGAGAGAGAGAGAGAGAGGAGAGGGAGAGAGACGACAAATTGTAAATAAAGAATAACAGAAGTCATACTAATAGTAGTAATAGTAATAGTAGTAGTAGTAATAGTAATAGTAATAGTAGTAGTTAATCGTTGAGTAAACATTACGTTATACGTTACGTCCATACCACGACTAAGTTCCATAAACATAATTTGTAATGTTCTATCATTCAATTATCTTTATTCGTCCATCTTCCTTGCTTTATATTTTTCTTTTTTCTTATCTCTCGAAAAGATTTCGTATTCTAATATCGCGAAGAAAAGAAAAGTGAAAAGAATATTGATTGTGGCTAAGAAAAGAAAAGAAAAGGAAAGGAAAAACAAAAAAAAAAAAAACAAAAAAAAAAGTACAAAAAAAGGAAGAAAGAAAAAACATCTTATTATGCACATGTATTTTAAAATTACTTTCACTTGAAATATCTTAAACTTTATTTATGATGTCGAAAACAATTATTAGTATTCTTTTATTGCGAATGTACATCGCGTACGTCCTTTTTCAAGGAATATTAAATAAATACAGTAATAATATATAAACATACACATAAATATATGTTTATATATTATAAATAGTATATAAATGATATATAAATTATTATTATTATTATTATTATTATTATTATTATGGTTATTATTATTATTACAATAATTGTAATAACAAAGATGGAAGAAAAAAAAATAAAGAGAACTATGGATTATTAGAAATGGAAATTAAACGAATATGGAACTAACAAGTGAAAATAAATTCCAGTTATAATGTCACTGACCGGAATCAAATCGTATTCTATCACCTACGCATGCTAACGCGCGCGCGGGCGCGCACACACATACACACACAAAATATATACAAAAGTGTTAAATAAAAGAATTTATATAGGTATAAATATAGAAGGGAGGAGACTACAGTGATATTGAAGACCTGCAATATGGTTAGAAAATTCTTGTACCTATCTACTTGCTCGTTACAATAAACCTATATATTCTACTATAGCTAACAAGCTCGTAAAGTATAGGGGAAAAAAAAAATACCTAAGGTTTGAGAAAATTGAATAATAATAATGATAATAAAAACAAAGTAATTAATAAATTCAATGTAATTGATATATATTTCTTTCGTTCCTTTTTTTTTTTGTTATTATAATTTAACGATCACAAATACCCACGTTGTACATTCAGATATATATATATATATATTTTTTTTTTTTAAAGAAAGAAAGAAAAAATAAAAGTAACGAAAAAAGAAAAAGGAAAAGTAATCCTAACAAAATATTTATACGTAATCGCCTTCATCAATTCTCGACCTACCGTGTTATAAGGTATTAATTAAGTATTTACGTAGTTTTGCGTATTTTTCTTTGACTGGCCTTGGATTTTTCATTATTATTTAGAGAAAGGATTAGAGTGTGTGAAAATAAAAGCAAAATATATAATGAACTTGTCCTATCGCTTTGCCAGAACTGGTTGGTTGATTAGTTAGTTAGGAATGTTGGTTAGTAAGTCGTCATGAAAATTGTAAGACATGCATGGGAACACATTAAAGACGGTCATTGCTCAATGTTCTACGACCTTCTGTAACTGCATATATTTGCATATATAAACGTACATACACGCAAATATGTAATAAAATTTTAACATCCATTGCCCAAAAAGGAGACCCGTTGATTTCGTTATTGTGATAATTTCGGCAAGAGTAATGATATTTCAAATTTGATATTAATTAGAAAATTTAATTCCATGACAAGTATATATATATATATATATATATATATATATATATATATATATATATATTTGTATATATAATGATTCCGTTTATTAATGTATATATAATATTTTATTTGTATCTATAATGTTTCAGATATGTTTTTTCGCAATAATTTTATATAATTATGCCGTTTAGTATGCTGTTTCGCATTTCGAATGTATATTTTTGTATTTTTCATTATTTCTTTCCTTGTTCTTTTTTTATTTTTTCTTTCTTTTTTTCTTTCTTTTATTTTTTTTTTTTTTTTTTTGCACAAAGATTACAGAAACAAAAAGGATATAAATAGAAAGAAGGATATATAATTTGAAAGAAGAATCATATGCACGTAAATATGATAAAATGGAAAAGAAATATGGTTGGAATATTATTGTTGAGCCTTGAAAGTGTCTAACTTTTCTGAAACATTGACATTTAAAATTATCTCTAAAGAGTATGGTGCGTGGACTCGCAAAAGAGACTGCCGCCATGCATAAACTTTGTTAAAATACTTTACAAAGATCGATCATCATTACTCCGTTCACGCGTCGTTACGTTTACCATATAGACGCGCTCCTTTGTTTTACTCCTCATCTTCTTCTTCGTCGTGGCCTCGATTAATCCTGTAGGCAAAAGATACCGACTTGTGAAACCCTCTCTCTTTCTCTGTCTCTGTCTCTGTCTCTCTCTCTTTCTCTCTATATCTTTCTTTATCTCTATCTCTATTTCTCTTTATCTGTTTATTGTTATAGGCAGAAGAAGAATGTACCTCTCTATCTTTATCTTTCCTTTTTTTCCATTTATTGCTACTTATATGGAAGAATACATCTCCTAATCTATCTTTCTTTTTCTATTTATTGCTATTACTAGAAGAATACATACTTATCTAACGTAAATACGTACGTATTTATGTATGTATGTGTATACACATACACACACACACACACACACACACAAAGATATATAGATAGATATGCTTATATACGCGAAGTGAACGCCGTTGAGAAATTGTTGGACAATCAGAAGCAAGTTTTGCGATGACGAGAGAAAAACATTATTGGTCATGTACCGTGTTTGTAGTATCGAAGTAGCGTGTGCCGAAAGAATGTAATCGCTCCTTATTTTTATTGCAATGAAACTCCTTGCCAATTTATAGATTATGTAAGTATTCCTTTGAAAGCGATCAAACTTTTCTCTCGCAAAAGAAATATGTTTCTATCTCTCTCTTTCTCTCTCTTCTCCCAGTTTTTCTATCTTATTTCGTAATTTATTAACGAACAAGGAAGTGCAATGTAAAGAATTTATATCAATTATTATGTGGACAGAAAAAGAAAAGGGGGGAGAAATATAATCCGACGTTAGAAATTATTGAATAAAATGAAAGCAAAATATTTCCTTTTTTTCCTTTTTTACTTCTTCTTCTTCTTCTTCTTCTTCTTCTTCTTCTTCTTCTTCTTTCATTTTTGTAAGAGGCAGAGATAAAATTGACAATTGCATAATGAATTTTTTAATTGTCGTTGATTAAAGAATTATTTTTATCCTTCTCTCATTAGCTCGTCTTTACATTTTCAATAATCACAAGTATTAATTATAAAAAGGAAAAAAAAAATATATATATATATATATATATATGGACGAGAAGCCGATGAAAAATCGTATGGCGACAGCCACATAAATATATAGAAAGGTGTCGTTAATAATTAATCATTGCTTAGAAATAATTGAAATTGAATGCAATTGTACAAGTGATAAAACTCCGTAATAAAGCGGACGCAACGGTGAGAAGTAGTAAATGCTGGGATACAATCAGACCGAATGCAGTAGTAAATGACGTGTTACAGGTAGGCAGGCAATCGTTTTTCGAATTGATTCGAAAAAAAAATACCACAGACAATATTAGAAAAATTAGATATCTTGACAGATAGAATCGTTCGAGGGAATCAATAATTTCTCAAATATTAGATTTAATATTAGAAATTATTTCTAAGCAGATTATATAAGAAGTTATAAAAGAATTCTAACACTCGCCTGTGTGTGTGTGTGTGTATGTATGTATGTATGTATGTATGTACATTTATAGAAATAAAAAAAAAAATAAAAAAATAAAAAAATAAAAAATAAAAAAAAATAAAAAAAATAAAAAAAAAAATTAAACACGTGGATTAAAATGATGGGAATGATTAGATATCGAAGGAGAAAACAAAGAAAGGCGAACGGTGAAATGTTGAAACTTAAAACTATTCCTTTCACGGATATAACGGAGATAGTTGTAGTGTTTCTTTTTTTTTCTATTGAGAATACCACACACAACATAAATAATTTATTAATTGTATATATAACACATATATCAATTTTATATATATAATATGTATAATAAATATTAATATATATATATATATATATATATATATATATATATATATACGCATTTTGTATTCCATATTTTGTATTCTATATTTTTTATCAAATAATATACTAAAACAAATATTTTTGTATTTTTTGCAGAACAGAAAAACAACGGAATCATGCAGGATAGGCATCGCGAGAGCGATGAGTTCAATACAAACTATTCAGCCCGGATCCTTGCCCGATTACCAAGTCGACCCTTACCGTCTCGTAGAAGACGATCTTAAACTCGTATATGATGAGATACGATTGGTATGCAATCCTTTCATTTTTACTTCAACTTCATCTTCGTTTATTTTTTTACTTCAACTCTATCTTCGTTTATTTTTATAATTCTTTGAATGGTAGAAAATTATTATACATATTTATGTTTATGATAATCGCTTTTTTTTATTCAGTATCTTTATTTCCTTATTTTTCTATCTAAAAAAAACTAGAGAGAGAGAGAGAGAGAGAGAGAGAGAGAGAGAGAGAGAGAGAGAAAAGACGATGAAACATGGAGTTAAAAAAAGAAAACGAAGTATGAATAAACGAATTACGATTAATAAATAATAAATAATTTGATTAACGTTTATTTATTGAAGTTAATAAAGAATTGAAAAAAGAGAAAGAAAAGATAAGGAAAATTTATAGTTATAGAAATAATTCTAATATGATTGATAATAGTCCATTTGAAATTAATGAAATTAATGAAATAGTAAAGATATTGAAATGTAATAGCGTAACAGTATATACGATGAGTCAGAGGACGATAAAGAGATAAAGAGAAGAGATAGAGAGAAAGACAATTGAAGCAAGCCAGTGATCGATCGATCGTTCGATCGGTCGATTGATCGATGCTTATCTTTGGGTTCACTCATCGATTCTTTTAAGGATCGCAAAGAGAACCGGAAGGGAAATTCCTTCTAAAGTAATCCTCGTCGGTATCGTTCGAAAGCCATAAATTTCGTCGTGACGATAGTCATTGTTAATCGTATACGGATTGGTGTCGCGCTTAGAGACAAAAGTTTTTTTTTTTTTTTTTTTTTTCCTTTTTTTTCTTTTTACATCTCTCTAAGATGGGGACGGCTCGACCGAGATAATAAATATTTATGATTACGAACGCCGAACGAATTCGTCGTTTTCATCGTTATGGAACTGGACAAGTATTATAATTATACCATAGAGGTGCGTCTTCTCGAGAGAATTAATCCGTGATTCGTGTCGAACCGAAAGCGAGCGAAAGCTAGCAAGCAGCAGCTCGGTTTCACGGCTTCACGGTCTGCATATGACCGAGACTTTTACTTGTTAAACGAGCATACACGTATCTAGTATCTATGCACGTAGGTATCTAGTATGTGATACCACATGGATATATACTTACGTGGAAGACCGCTTAGAAAGCTCAACATTTATATTGGGTGTCACGTTAATTGAGCTATATATATATATATGTATTTCAAAATGAAATTCAAATTTATATGGATAAGGGTTCCTTTTATTTTTCTTGTATTTCTTGTTGATATATATATATATATATATTTTTTTTTTCTCTTGAAGTTTTTTTTTTTTTTTTTTTTCTTTTTTTTTCTTCGACATAATATCCGATATTTATTTTTATATAGCTTTGCATCTATGGATATTGGAAAGATATCCGTTTTCACCTTATACGTAAATTTTTTCAAAGATCAGAAATGTAACTTCAAACGCATAAGACTGTTTTACGATTAATTAAATTTAACATCAAATGTTATGCCATAGATATGAACATAACGTAGATGTTATGTATTTGATACAAGTATATATTCCATTGAAAATAATTCCCTTGGTATGTAAACCCATGAAAAGTAAATCGTATGTATGTATGTATGTATGTATATATGTAATATGTTAAAGAAATAGAATAATCATTAAATTGTCATAATATCGGTTCATTTGATAAAAGCATTGTTTGTTGTTAATGTTGATTAGTATATTTTTTTTTAAATATATAATCATTGACTCGTTAAAAGATTAAAGATAAAATCACATTTTCATCCATGTTTTTACATTTTCATTTATAATTTCGTGCTTCTCTCTCTTTCTCTCTCTCTCTTTCTTTTTCATATGTTTCTTCCTTTAAAAATCATTTATCGATCGATCGAACGTCATTTAAATTTTTCGATGTAACAACAGGAAAAATAACGAAGATTGAACTGTTCTTTATTTTTTTCTTATACAAATAAATGTATGTTACTCTTTCTCTCTGAATGTTTTGGAAAAACTATAGCTTCCGTTCACGTGATCGAAAAAGACAAACAGGACATATTTATGATGTAAGCTTACGAAACCCAATGAGTATACATATGTATGTTCCTTTCGAATTTTGGCGAAATTCCAAGATGAACTTTCATCCTGAACACAAATAGAATCTAAACTATCTAACGTGTATACTCTCCTTCCCTCTTTCATTGCCTCCCCTTTTATTTATTTTATTTTATTTTATTTTTTTTTTTTTTTTTTTTTTTTTTATTGATTAGAGTTAATCGTAAAAATATAAATATATCGAAAATATTTTGTTCGAATTACGTGTATGTCTTTTTGTTTATAATGTATCATTTTAAAGTTAACGATGTTTACATTTTCAATAGTATATATATTATAGGTAATACATTATGGATAATATATATATATATATATATAAAATAATAATAATAATAATCAATGTACACGTACAATGTTATAGGAATGTGTTCGAAAAAAAGGAAATGATAAACGAATGTTATAATAAATATTATTCTATGGTAGACTATAATAGATAATAATTTATTCATTTATTCATTTCTCGATGAAAATAAAAATACTTCTGTTCTAGGAACTCAAAGCAAAAACGACGCAAGAAGAATTAAGAAAGATAGTAACATATTATTTTGATGGAAAAGGAAAAGCGATACGACCGTTGCTCGTAATCCTTATGTCACGAGCTATTAATTATCATAAGGACGAAATGAAGTAAGCATCGATCTTTTTCTTTTACTCGATCTGTTTTTTTTTCTTCCTTCGTTTATTTTATTTATTTGTTTATCTATTTTTTTCTTTCTTTTTTTCTTCAAATTATTACGATATTTAATAAATAAAATGTAAACATTTTTTTATTTTGTTTTTTTTTTTTTTACACGTCGTATAATATTAATCATTATATTTACACGATGTACAAATCGTTTTCTTGTATATATTACAAGAGTACGACTTCGAATTGATACGAATATTTTGAATGATTTGGTGACGTTAGAAATATCAGAGCGTGAATTACGAATGCGATATAATGGCAGCGATAAAAAAAGATGAATTAACGTTGACGTAGCGCTGAATATAAAAAAGAACAATCGGTAAATGAAAACTGGAGCGAAACGCGCATTGCGTATTTATTGTACGCAATGTGTATCGTTTATATTATTTAAACGT